TCCTGCTGAGATGTATGGTAGAACATTACTTTTTTTTTTGCTTGCATGTGTAGAGCAATGGTTTATGCCATATGATGTAACACATACTTATAGTCTTGCTCTCATATAAAATTTGAATCTAAAGGTAACAAAAAAAAGGCAGGACAAAAGGAAAATTAGAAGCAAATATAGTCTCTTTTGAGATTGTGCCAATTTGAGCTCCAAATTATATTAACCTCACCAATTACCACCCAAATGGTAATGGGTCGAGCCTACGTACATATTAATTTGTATTGCTGGATTTCATGACTTGTTCTCGGTTATAACTTGTAATAATAAGTATCTTTTCATTGCATAATATATATTTTTTTTCAATTTTGGCAATTATTGAATCAGAAAATTATACAATGACAACTAATATTAAATAAATATTTTTTATAAAGGCTTGGTTAACTTTTTACTACCCATAATATTCGCCTCTCGGCTTTAGTCCCTAGAAAAAAATTCTTGTCAGTTTTGGTCCTTATTAATTTTTCCCCCAGTTTTAATCCCCATCCCTGTTCAATGATAACGTGGCTGACATATATTGAAAAGCGGACCTGATGTTTTCCGAAATAACAGAGACTGAAATGAGAATTTTCTAATATAAGGACCTGTATCAAAATTTTACAATTTTCAGACTAAAACTGGAAAAAAAAAATTAATAAGGAGCAAAGCTGACAAGAATTTGTTTTAGGGACTAAAACTGAAAAAGGTGTATATTATCAAGACTAAAAAGTTATTTAAGCCTCTTTTAAAAAAAAAAATTCTTGACGTTATTTATGTGCTTATTCCTTTAACATTTATCCTAAGATGCTTGCTTCACTTGGTTTTAACAATTCTAACGTCTTATTTTTTTTGTGGTTGACGGTAATTTACCTTCCAAAATTTTCAGCATTATTACTTGCTTCTACATTGTGAGGGAACTGTTTCAGATATCTTCCCAAGATCCTGCTTACTTTGTTTTAGTGCATCATGATGACAGGCAAGCTTATAGCACCTTTTTTCTTTTGATTTTTGAGCTTTGTATTGGGACTAGAACAGGCGTGAAGCAACATATCTTTGGGTGGCAAAATCCTTTAACTGTTGAGTTTTAAGAAGTTAGTGTTCTGTTCTGTCTTACTAAGACTGTTATCACTGGTTACCTCACCATTATAAGGTTTAGCATATAACGGAAGATTGGAAGAATGAAGATCATCCAACTTTTTAGTTGCATAACCTCTATCTTTCTCTCACTTTTATAGTTTACTTAGAAACGTTAATAATTTTTTTAATAGGGCAGAAAACAAATATAAGGGAATTTCTGGTGAGGCAACATAGGAACGGTTGTTCATGAACCAAAGGCATGTAAGAGGGGCTCATTTGGTATGTTTTTGGAAATCTGCGAGTGGATTGCCAATAAGGCTTACCATCTACCATTTACTTCGTTTGATAATTGCAGGAAGTAAAGAAGGGAATCGATTAATCCCGTAGCAGATAATCAGATATTAGATGTAGTTTGGACTTTGGAGATCATTATTTTTGCAAACACTACTAGCGGATGGATGATGTCGTTCTCTTATCAATAATTGTTGTTGATTTCTAATTTTCTTGTGATATCAATGTTCAATTGCACCGCCACCCCCCACCCCAATTTAATTATAAAGTTTAAGCGTCAGAATCAGAGAAAATGTATATCTATTCATTTGTTACTTGCATGGACGCTTCCTATCTGGTTATCTGGAGACTGGATTTCACGAAAAAGTGATTCGGATTGTAACTGTTCACATTTATGTATGCTGTATGGAATATTTTTTTTATTCAGATCAATGAAAAAAAAAAGGCACTACTTACCTATGTTAAAAAAAAAAATAAAAATTAATGAATATATCTCGATAATTTGTATGATTATTAAAAATTATTTAAACCTATTAAGAGTAAAATGAAAAAGGAAAAAATAGACTATAAATGAAGAAAGTATAGATGTTAAAACACATTTGACTCATTTCATAAATAGAAAAATCCTAACATTTTTTTCCGAGATTAATCCTAGTAGCTAAAAGCCTTGACACGATAGCCACCTCACCTTAACAAGATAAGTGATAATAATGGGTGAAAGTCACATGAATTATTTTTGGAGAAAGTGAACTTGTGATAGATAATAATAATACCGCTCGGTATTAATAGTTGTTTTTCCATGTTGTGGTACCGTATATTGCTTGCGTCAAGGATAAAAACAAAAGGAACCAGAGGAACTAAAAATTAGAAATATACGGGCCAAAAACAAACTAAAAGTACATTATAAGGATAAAATATATTTTTTAAAATTCATTAATATAATATAGAAAAACACATATTAGAATGATCTTATACTTATTCCATGATTAATAAAAAGAAAGTTCACCCAAAACTAGTGTTTTAGATTCATTCATACAAAATCATATTTATGAAGAGGTGAATTGTTCCTTTTCATGAGTAGTGAATTTGGTAATCAAATTTATATCTCTATATCCTTCTACGACATTGGAATGTATAATATGTGACTGTGAAGTGACACTAACAAAAGCCCTTTCACTAATAAATTGATAACCAAATTGTCAAATGTTTGTTTTATACAAATATAATTAGGGAATGAAGGCAGGTGAAGCACATAACATCAAGCTTTCTGCGAATAAAATCGGTTTGATAGCACTTACGCATCACAAGGTCTATGTATGCCACTATTATATGCACCAAATCAATCGATCATATGAAAAATGTGAGTTTCAGTGGAGACAGCGAGAAGCAGAGTTCATCAATAGGAATAAACAACAAAGAGTGCAAAGATCAATATTACAAAAAATCTCATTTCATCATTATTGGTGAACATGATGTTCAAATAAAATTGGAATATAAATCCTAACCGTGGAAAGAAGCCCATAAGCTCACCAGTAGATACAAAATCTGCATTCTTTGTATGTAGCTCCCTCGCCATCATTAGAGAAGAAGACCATAAGTTCACCTGAAGCCCAATTAGACCCGTGTTACCATGGACAGCCCGCTAATTTCATACTTAATTCCTAACAAAAAGAGGGATTAAAAGTATAGAAAAACAACTTAACCATGTGAAGCAGTTACATTTATATACTTTTTATCCTTTAACTTATTCTTTGATATTTATGTTGTTATTTTTTTTAAAACAATATTAATTCTTATTTTTACGTCAATTTGATCCTTTTAGAAAATGATAGTTTATATTTTTGTGACACAATTTTGAATATTTTTTTGTTAGTAATTCAAAATATGAAAATTTTCTCGTTAAAATTATTTACACAAAAACTATTGAATCAAATTAATATTTGAATAAAAAATGTTCATAAACAGATGAAATACGTGTAAAAATTAATAATAAAAAAATAACTAGAATTAAAAATATCTGTCTTCACACACTACATAAACTATTATAAAATCAATGTGAAATGATGAAGTAAAACGTAATTTTTGGTACAGTGTTCATTAGAGTAGTTAAAATCGTAAAAGAAGTTTAATATGTTGAATCTAAGAGAGTTTACATGCAAGAATTTAATTTTAAACGTTAAAATTAACATTCATAATAAATAATAAAAAAAATAAAACTAAAGTGGATAACTGGATATACCCCCTATAATTTTAAAGTCTTACTTATAGATCTTTCTCCACTTAGTGGTGTCATTTGCATGCATCTTTAGTGCATGGATGATATGCAAATGCAGTTCCCTATATTCTTAAGCACGCATATTTTTTGTTTGTACCTAGCATGACACAAGTGTTATTATTCATCATTATAGTTAGAAATCTAGTAGCTTGGTCTAACTTAAACTTTAGTCTAGAATATCGAAAATTCAGGTTGAATTGTGTTGGCCTGAATTTTCTTTTGTGTATGAATTTAATTCCCCACTCCAAGCCTAATTCTCTCCTGAGTCAATAAATTAGATTGGACTAATTATAATAAATAAAAAATAAATTTATTATATAAATTGTTAATATATGTATATCTATAATAAAAAATTAATATTATTAATAGAGTCATATTAACTACTAAAATAATTTAAAAAAAAAGTTAGAATAATAGAAACATAAAAACTTAGATTTGATTACCATAGTATTTATCTTTGAAACTTTTATCTTTATCAAAAAAGAAATTAGAATTGATTTAAATAACTCTTATTTTTAGTAGCTCCTCTCAATCGTATTTTTTTTTATGTACGAGATTTAAATCCAAATCCTTATTAAAAAAAAAAAAACCAAATTCAGGACTATTCAGACTTGCATTTATGACTAGTACATGTTCAAATTGATATTTTTATTTTCATACTTTGTTTTTAACTTGGATTGGAGTGGTCTTGTTACTTGTCCTTAGACAGGCATGTTTGTTTTTTGTGAAATTGGGTCCAATATGCCAGTTCATAAAATAAAAAAATGTTATAGAATTAAAATATATATTAGCTGTCAAAATTGCAACAAAAAATATATTACAAAATATATTAAAATAAATTGTTAATATTGCTATAAAAAATATATAACGAATATAACATTGTCCTATTTTTTTTTAATTAGCACCGGCACCTAATTTTATGTGGATTAAAATATTTATTTGTAATTTTGAAGAAAATTATATAT